TTTTTTTTTTGATAACCGTGGATATTCGGGTCAACTTGCGCGCACCTCGACTAATCCCACGTGACCCTGATATTGAGTAATGATACTTCATATTAATAAGGAAAATGATCTATAATTTGGGACAAATGAAAAAGGAAAGCTCAAGCCTATCTTTACGGGATGGTGGAGTATTTTCTATTGATTGTGCCTCGAGACTTTTTAGATGAAAGGAGGTTCTAGGAGGTTGAGTTTCCACTCTTCTTAGAAGTTCAAGCTTTTCTTACTATTCAAGGGCTAGGTTTAATCAGTGCAAGTTACTCCAGAAACAAAACTGATTTTATCTAAGGAAACACAATGAAAGATGATTCATCAGTCTGCTTTTTCCTACATTTGATTGGTAATATATGATTTTATTTGTGGGTAGTGTCAAGTGTGCTATTGAAATATAGAGAAGCTATTGAAAAGGAAGCTATATAATCTCTTCTTTTATTTAAATATGGAGCTTCCGTTTCTTTGAGGAGGATTAGGGGAGGAAAGGAAATTACATTTGGCTAACTGGCGTGCAGTTTGGTATCCTATTAGATTCAGTGGTCTTGGAATGAGAAGTTTAGTACTGTTTAATAAGGCCGTGTTGGGTAAGTGGTTGTGGCGATTTAGAGTGCAGAGGGAGAGTTTTTAGAGAGAGATAGGACAAAATATGGTATGATGGAGGGGGGATGGTGCTCAGGTGAGAGATATGGTTCTTATGGGGTGAGTTTGTGGCGGTCTATCCAGCGATGGTGGAGCGACTTTCGGGATATGTTGACTTTTATAGTGGGGAATGACAATACCATCAACTTTTGGGATGATTTTTGGTGTGGAGATCAACCGCTTAAGGTGAGATTTCCTTCTTTGTATCGTATTGCGATGGAGCCGTCTGCCATAGTGAATGATGTCTTAGATATTCATAATAGGAGCTCCAGTTGGAACATTGTTTTTGGCAGGGGTTTGCAGGACTGGGAATTGGATGATTATGCGCTGTTTTTGACATCTTTAAACGAGGTACATATCGGGGCAGCAGATGGTGATTGTAGCAGGTGGAGGTTGATACGAGATGGTATTTTTTCAGTTTGCACTTATTTTAGATCTTTATTGGGACTTGTAGAGATTTCATTTCCCTGGAAGATGGTATGGAAATGTAAACTGCCCCCCCACAAGTGGCATTTTTAGTATGGACGGTGGTTAGAGGAGAAGTGTTAACGGTGGATAACCTTCGCACAATGGGTTTTTATGTTATAGAGTGGTGCTATATGTGTAAGAGGGATGGAGAGACGATTGATCACTTGTTCCTTTATTGTGATGTTGCTTGTTTACTATGGAACGATATTTTTGCATCGCAACACATGGACCGGGTGCTGTCGAGGCGTATGGAGGATATGTGAAAGGCATGGAGGAGAACGTTTCGATATAATGATAGCAAACTTGTATGAGACCTTCTTCCGGGCTGCATCGTATGGTATGTGTGGAGAGAGAAAAAATCGTNATATATATATATATATATACAGCTTAGGCATAATTATATCTTTCACTCCTAATTGTTGATGGAAATTCAAAGGGCCAACATCAGACTGTATTCTGCAAATTGCATTTAAGATATAGTTTTCCAATTTTCTAGCGACTCCTTATCTTAAAATTCTAGACTGTCAAATAAAAGAAGTACCTGATGTTGTAATTTGATGCATTGAAACTGGTTTATGGCATTGCATTAGAATGTGCTGCTTTTTTTACTGCAGACTGCAGTCCAGTGTGCACAGATAAACAAACTCAGCTAATTGGAGTTTACATGACTTTTGGAAGTTGTATCACTTCCAATTTTGAAGGCTTCTTTTGATCTTTTCAATGCTTTATCCTATTGTATTGCTTTCAATTGGGCATTTTAGACGTATAGATGTTACTTTTGTTGTCCTAAGATCAGTAAGAGTAACTCTTTGTGCTTCGTGATTATAATCTTTCTTGATCTCTGACTTGAACAGTTTCACCTCAAGCTAGCTCGCCAAAAGTTTATTCCAGTTTTGAAAAGGTTTTCTTTGGCTGCTATCTAAACCATTCGGCGTGCCTTCTTCCACAGGATGTAGGAGTACCCATGTTAAAGATGACATTATGCCTTTTTAAAACATTAAT